ATATGATGTCATCCTCACAGTCCAGTGCTCCGTGTCTGCCACTAGGTGGAGCTGTACAACTTCATGGCCAAAGACAACGTGCCATTCCACAGTGTGGTGTTTCCCTGCTCCCTACTGGGAGCGCAGGACAACTACACTCTGGTCAACCACCTCATTGCCACTGGTAAGCACTGGATCGTATCCGTCGGGCAGTTAACCCGACGTAGACGTGATGAATCACCACGTTCCGTTTCAGCTTTGAGAGTCATTTTTTGCTGTAACTCCCTCGCAGAGTATCTGAATTACGAAGACACAAAGTTCTCCAAGAGCCGCGGCGTGGGTGTGTTTGGAGACATGGCCATGGACACGGGCATCCCGCCCGACGTGTGGCGCTTCTACCTCCTCTACGTGCGCCCAGAGGGACAGGATTCAGCCTTCTCCTGGGCCGACATGGCTCTGAAGAACAACTCTGAGCTGCTCAACAACTTGGGCAACTTTATCAACAGGTGGATGGTCACATACCTTTGTTCCAGATGTGATTCGCTAGTGGTATCATTTAGATTTCGGTCTGACTTTGACTTTCACTAATGAGCCTAACAATTAACACCAATCACCTCATACTACTTCCTCCTAGAATCGGACGTGTTTCCGATTCTTTTTCTATTTAAATTGTTCTCCTAGGACAGTATTAGCAATAAAGAAAATGGGGCAATCCACCTTAAGTTGCTCACATTTTGTTGATAATAAGTTTCACTCAAAAAGTAAATATGCAACGCAGCTGTCATCCAGTCCAATTAACTAGTAAGTTTTCAAACTGTTGTACTCAATGGAAAATAAAGTCTGTTAGAGCAATAACTATTACAGGAGACTTGAGACTAGTTTTCTAAATTTGTTTGGGATGGTGTAATTTAGCCCCAATTACATTGCTTCAAATGATTTTTATAAGATCAGGGTTAAATCCCACATCAAAGATTTTTCTCTGCAGCTTTTTTCCAAAGTACCTTGATCTTTAAAATTGGTCTCGGGCAGCAATGTTGATGCCTAATTGGTTCAAAAATATCTTGTAGGTTGCATCCAGCCTGAGGTGTTGGAGGTAAAAAAAGTATTGTGCTTCAGAAAATCATTTCTGTCCCTGCCTGGATCCAGTTACCAAATCACTACATCATTAGGGACAGCGTGTCCATCTTGGGGCTGCTTTTTTTGTTTTAATTCCTAAACGTTTCTGGGCTGTGGTGTTCCAGCTAATCTTTCAGCTTGACAAACTGACGTGTAAATCCTCCTTTTACCTGCGGCAAACACGATTTTATTGACTGCGATGTCTCAGTTCTTGTAACGGCAACAATGTCCCTCTTTATTCTCCTAGGATGAAAAATCTCAAGGCTTCGGTTTGTATTTGTAAATTAGTTTCACCAATTAAAAGACTAAATCAAATGAAGAAAGCAGGTCACACAAAGTTCACGCTCACACATCAAAATATCACTTCATTGTAAATTTGACAGTGGTCTGGCACACTGTACTCAGGGGGGGGGAGGGCTGAGAGATGTGTAAAATATAGAACAGTCTGTTGCATCAGATAAGACAAACGCTCTCACTACCAACATCTTCTTGATGCACACGCCAAAGTCTCTTTTTAATTTTTATCACTGCGCAACAGACACTGTTACAGTGTCGAGGCAATGCAGGAGCTGATGAAGCTCAATGCCGTTTCCTTTAGCTGAGGACTTTATATCATCTGACAACAAAATGTATAATTTATAAACTATTAGCAAGTCAAGCAATGTGGCCGCTCAGTTTTCTCTCACTGTTTTCTCTCGCGGCCTTTTCCTCACTCCTTTCCTCCTCCTCACCTGCAGAGCCGGCATGTTCGTCACTAAGTTCTTTGAGGGCAGTGTGCCTGCGATGGAGCTCCAGCAGGAAGATAAGAAGCTCCTGGCTCTGGTGGGCTGGGAACTGCAGCAATACATCCAGCTAATGGACAAAGTCAAGTAAGGCTCATAGACTCACAAAAGTGTAATGTTGGGATATCAGTTCATTCTAAAATCGCTTTCAAGGAGTAAAGTTATACTCTTTAATTAGATTAAATCAGTCATTTAAAATGATTCAAATGAGTGTACATTTTCAGTGAAAACATATTGGTAGATAACTCTATATTTAAACTTTTACTAAAGTAAATTCCGTGTAATAACTCTACTGTCAGTGTCACCCTGTCATCAATTTTCCTATGAAATTTTCCACCAGAATCCGCGATGCTCTGAGACACATCCTCAACATCTCCCGCCATGGCAACCAGTACATTCAGGTCAACGAACCCTGGAAGAAGATCAAGGGAGGGGAGACTGAGAAGTGAGAAGGCTTTGACCAGTTTAGCACAACCTGTATTGCTGTGGATTCATACACAGCAGACAGATTGGTTTTTGCAGATTTGTAAATTCAAAATTTGATATTGCCTCTTCAGGCAGCGTGCGGGCACGGTCACCGGTGTGTCCGTGAACATCGCCTGCCTGCTGTCGGTGATGCTGCTGCCGTACATGCCGGCTGTGAGCCAGACCATCAGGGATCAACTCAATGCCCCTCAGTCCTGCGTCAATACCATGTTGCAGGGCACTGGCACCTTTGTCTGCTGCCTGAGTGCCGGCCACCGCATCGGCACTGTGAGTACGACCTGGAAAGAGAAGTACACGCACGGTTCGTACACTCTGACTGTCGAACCGCCTGCATGTCGACGCTGGGTGATACAATGAGGATGCAACTGGCTGTCAATATTCTAGTACCCTGGAGGACATCATGTGAACACACACACACATATATATATGACGCCTTGGAATAGCAAGTTTCTCTCAGGCCACTTGTCCCCTCAGGCCTAATTGTGGTGACCAGTGTCTGCAGCAGCCTGTCAAGACGCGTGACTGAGGTCTCTTGACCAGCAGCACCGGACCACCGTGTGCTGGTCCGGTGCTGCGTGTCAAACTAACACGGGATACACAACTCTGCATTTGAAAGTGTCGTGATTGAAACTAAAGCAAAGCAAATCTCTCGTACAGAGATCTGGTCTTTGTTGTTCAAAGACGAGCACGGAGTCTCCAGGTTGAGATTTCTAGCTTCAATGGACTTTGCCTTGATCTTCAATCGCAAACCTTTTAAACAACATTTATAGATATTCTTTTTTTAAATGTCTAACTTTTTGTTCCCTCTTGCATTGCCAGGTCAGTCCGTTGTTTCAGAAACTGGAGGTGGACCAGATTGAGGCTTTGAAGAAGAGATTTGGTGGACAGCAGGTACTTGATGTTTATGATCTCTAATGGTCTGTGCATGTTAATACAAGTCTTCTAGTAATATAGGTTGACTATTTATGAATAATTGAAAAAGAAATATTCGAAAATGCATTGCCATTCAGGGGCTTTTGTCAGACCGTCTCCCCATCGATTAATGTTTAATGTATTACGCATCCATCATATAGATATAAAATAATTCCTCTCAATAACTTCTCCTCAACCGCCTGCCTCTAGCCTGAAGATGAACCACCTAGAAAAAAGGTATCGAGTGGTATTTGAAGAGTCCCTCCCCACTGGTTGTTTCTGCCTTCACTAACACTAGCCGCTCATCTAACATGCTCGGATTTATTTTACTTCATTTTTACCCTCATTCCTGTCTGTCCAGAGTGATTTGCCGTCCATTTAATCTTTGTGACTGGTCCATATTTTGAGTGTCGAGTGTCATTGTTTGAAATGAAGGAAATTAATATCCATAAATATTAACCATCAAAACCTCCTTCGATTCAAAATGATTTCCATTGGTCTGTTTGCGCCCTCAGATGACCGCTCCGAGTGCTGCCAGCGCTCCGCCCGCCGCCGTGCCGGCAGCCGCCGCCGCCGCCGAGGTGGCTTCGGTGAACGGAGCGGACCCAGAAAAAGCCAAGCAGCTCACGCAGGCTGTGGCTGAGCAGGTGAGCTGGCTGCTTACTAGCAACACAGTCCTTAAATCCTGGAATCAATCACGCAGAAGTATAAGCTTTTGTCTTTATAATAATCCATACGACAGAAAGGGAACGGGTGGCATCTTCCGTAAGGAACAAAAAACGGTCGCGAAAAGTAGATCTCGCGCAACAGCCTGCTGGAATAAATGTTTGCTTTAAGTTTCAAAAGAAAGATCGTTGTTAGATCCAGACCTTTTAAATTTTGCAATCCATTTATCAAAATTGAATTCTCAAATTTTTTTAATTTTACATTGTGCTCACAATAAATGCAGCAATAGAATTTTTTGGAGACACATTTTTTGAATTCTCTAACTTCCAAGCCAAGCTGTCAACCGCGATTTGTCTATAAAAGCTCAAAGTTAAATGAATGAGTAACAAATCTATTAAACCCTGACATTTCTATTCACGACAGGGGGAAAAGGTGCGAGCACTCAAAGCCCAGAAGGCGGAGAAGGCCGTGATCACCGCAGAGGTGGCCAAACTGTTGGACCTTAAGAAACAGCTGGCTGTGGCTGAGGGGAAGAGCGCGGAGCCTGCACCTCAGAAGGGCAAGAAGAAGTGAGACTAAATTAGAGTGAAGGCGGGTTAGTGAGAGTAGAATGGTCTGAGGTATTATTGTGGCGAATGGGAACAAGATGTACACTAAAAAGGGAGGCGAGGGTATTACCTCGAGGCAAAGCCGTGACAGGATCGAAGACAATGTGGTGTTGGCTCTGAGGACTAATGCAATGCTGGATGGGCCGGCGGGGAAATGAAAACACAGAGGCTCAAACGAACACAGCTACAGAAAGGAGGGATTTTTCCAAATCCCCACACCAAAAGGAACTGATTTTTATACTCCCCCTGTGATAGTCAGCATACGGTATTAGTGTTGAAAGGTGTGTTGTACTTTATTATTTTTTTTTATCTCTTGGAATTTTTTCTTCCATTTGCTACAAATACCTTTTATTGGATCTGGAAAATAAAGGGATTACGATTACCTGAAAATTGCCTTTACTCTCCTGTTCTCAGTTATCTTTCACAAATAAACATCACATGACACAAGAGATTCCACATATTTTTTTATTGCTGATTTTGGATCACAATGAAGGATACATAAATGGTATGGTAATATACATGTATTTGAAGCCAATAATAAAAGCCATGCATATTACTCTACAACTAACACTTCTGCAGTGAGAAAATAACAGTGGATATGTTTGCATTTTACAGTATAATTGTGTATATATTACAATGTTCTATAAAAATAGTAAATCAAGGTAGAACATCTTGTGGTGATTCTTCCACAAATTCCCATATTGATAGAAAAGGTCAGCTTAGAAAGTAGAGCCGGGAGCTACTTACTTTATATAAATACTCATACACAAGCCATGGGTTATAAAAAGGTAAGAAAGATTATGAATTCTCATACTCACACTGCACTGGGCACTTTCAGACTTTTCCTGAGCTTTTCACCTCTTTACAAATTGGGGCAAATTAATCTCTGCTAGCCAAATTGCAGCCCTTAACGTAGGAGTTACAATTATTGCAAAATGGCAGGAATGAATGACATGAAAAGCACTCAAGTTTCCTTCTGTCCAACATACAAATCAATCCTCAAATGCTTCTGTTATTTCTACCATCCTATTTGCTGGAACGTGTCAGGCATTCTTAAAATGACACACTCCTCTCCAGCATGGTATCATTTGCACTTCGAGTGGTCCGTCCTTACTTGGTACATGCTGCGTCTTTTTATTTGCCGCATTGCTGTGGCAGCCCTTCCTCTCGGTTTCTTGTCTTGACTTTCATCGCTTTCCTATTTCTCGCCATCTAGAGCCGTGTTCAAAAGTCCTCTTATGAAAGAATTCTTTGGTTTCCGTACTTTCCTGTCCGAGAGGCATTTCATGACCACCGTATCACATCTTCCCTCACCTCTGCTTATTTCTAATTCTTTCAAGACCTGTCATCTTTTCAACGTTCCTTACTTTCACTTCTCCCTCATTCATTTCCTGGTGTTGACTAGTCTCTCTATCAGGGCTCTCCGTGTCCTCTGTACCTCTTCTCCCAGCCTGTCAATCTCCGCTTTCAAGCGCTCGTTCTGCTCCGTCAGCTCCTGTACCTTCTTCTCGTTGTCCTGCTCTCTTTCTTTGCGACTCTTTTTTGCCGACGACAAGGATGGGGATTTGTGCTGTGTAGAGGAGGCAAATGGGGACAAGGCACTGCTGTCCCTCTCGCTGGTGGTCCTGTTGCGCTTTCCCAGGCAGGAGGACGGGTAGACGGAGGGTGAAGAGACGGGCGAGGAGGGAGAGGAACAATTTTGAGATGGCGACTGGGAGGCTGAGGAGGAGCAGGATGGAGAATGTGGGACACAGGGCAGTTCCTCCTCGCTGGCTGAGGGAGACGCAGGGTGGACATTAGCTTGGTGGTGGTAATAATAGCCGCCGCTGATCACCGCCCCACTCGGATCCACCATTCCCACTCCTCCTTCGCTCAGCAACTCGAAAAACTCCGGAGGCAGCAGATCACTGCTGCCTCCCGTCAAGCCGTCTCCCCTTCTCCTGCTCTCAGCCTCCGTCCGCCGCTCTTCTGCAACCGCTGGACTCATGCAGGATGAAGAGGAGGAAGAGGAGGAGGTGTGACGCAGAGGCTGGGTGTGGATCTCCTCTTTGGTCCTCTGGACACCGTCGCCCCACGTCTGGCCTCCGTCCGTCAGCCACGTCAGAGAACAACTCTCCAGAACATCCAGAAACTCCGGCTCCTTCTACAAAAACGCAACAAAAAAAGGGGTAAACATCAACACCGTCAAACCATGTGAAACCATGTGTGACGTTTATTTTGCATGTAAAAAAAGAAATATTAACAAACACAATGGACGACAAACACTCACACTCATCATGGGTGTGATCGCCTTTTCATTCGTCGAGCTACTGACCTCGGTGCATACGGGGGCACGAGCGAGTTTTGCCCCTCCCGTGTCGGAGCCCAGAATATCCTGCAGGTCCTCATACCACGCCTCCAACTCTGCACCACACAACGGCCCCACGCCGGGGGGGTATGGCGGGGGCAGGTGTAGCCACTCGGCAGTCATCTCGCCAGTCAGTCGCAACACACAGGTACTCGGCCACACGGTTCACACTGGACCTGAGGGGAGGGGGAGGGGGGGGAACAGACATGCTCTTTACTGCTCTGCCACTTGTTGGGATGCAGTGATTAGCTGTGTACTATTACTGGAAGACTCTGCAGAATTATTTACCATAATAAAAACTACACCAACATCCAGTACACCAAGTCAACTACTGGGTTGAGGGATTGCTGATGAGAGGAATTTTAAGATTCCAAATATGTGTACAAAAAAAATGTATAACCAATGTTTTTAATAAACCAATAATTTATCAAATCTAAATCTCAACTTCACTGCATGCAGCAGTCAGTGTCAGATGTGAGAGTTTACCTTTGGAAAGTCTCTTATCAAGTCTGCCAATTTGTTGGAGATAGCTTGTCCCAACAGTTCTGTAAGAAAAAGAATTTGAAAGGTTAGTTTTTTAATAGTTTCTTACGGCAGAAAGTCGCTGAGGTTTGAGAATCAAAGTGATGATTTGCACAAATACAGAGCACGCTTGGTCAGTGTACAAAAAGTGCCTTCAAATTAGACGGCTGATTTAGAAAATGATGAAGAATTAAAAATAATGATTAAAAACAAATATATTCAATGATTGTTTAAATGATCAATAAGGATGGGAGGTAACAAAAGGCATAACTCTTCTTCTTGTAAACAAAGACCGACATGTTCTCTATTGCGCCCCCTGCTTTCTACGGTCCTCAAAACACCCTGGGATCGATAAGTGGTTAAAAAACAACCGACAAGTTGATCTATCGATCCCTCCAAGTCTTCAATAGGACTTTAAAAAGATGTCCAGAACAACAGTTACCAAACAAAAGACTAATAATTAAAGCGTGTAATATAGACTGTCTGGAACTGAATAGTTTAATTTAAATACGGATATATGTCATCTCAAATATTTACTTTAAAAATCCAAACATAGAGCAGGGTGGTTAATTAATAAATTCCAAGGGTTGAAGATTTTTTATTTTTATTTTTTAATCATCTCGTGTTGTTGTCAAATGTTAAACTTCCACCGTACAGGCATTTTGACTTTGTTTGGTAAATCGTACCAATTAAATGTTTCTTCAGGGATTATTTTTGTATTCAAAATTGTAGTATTTTCTTCTTTAGGTGGGCGACATGTCCGCTGTCTGCCAAGACAATTACGTCATGGAAATGAAAGTCCAGCAGGAGGATTGGGCGAAACAAAAGGAACCGTTGAGGGAGGAAAAACGGTGTGTTGCGGGAAACAATACAACATCCATTCAATCATACTAAATACTCACTATAAACGGGTTAAAAGTGGCAAAAACAAACATAACGTTAGCTGTCAGAAATAAAAAGCCGTTCCGTTTCGAGTCGAACGCCCCACCAGTGATGGTTATTACGGCCAGACGTCACGCGGAGGAACCTTATTTAATTCAAATGAAAAAACTATTTATAAATAAAACTAGATCTAAAAATAAGATTGTACGTATTCAACAACGATTTAAGACGCCTGTCACAACGCTCAAAATCCTTCTTTAGAAGAACTTCGCAGTCCGCTTGAGCCTTGACAACTTGTCAGACATGAGGCAAAAAAAACACATAATGGAGATGGATTAAGACAACCGTTATTCTAAAATATAACACTAGGATTACTGCCAAAAACACGCTTTGTGTTTTAATTATATTTCCAGTAACGTTACATCGGATCACCACAGGTTAACGTTAAGTAACTTAACGTTGGCAGTTACTCCCCCGAAAGACTGAAAAACCGACTGACAAGTATTCGGAAACAAAATCTCCACTTACCCTTTTTTTTTTATTCGCTCGCCTTCTCGACTGTCTCGAACTCGAATGTGGATATTTTAGTAAAAATTTGTGATAGCTCATGTTAACCATTGTTCAGTCTTCAGGGCTGAATGTGAATTTTCGGAAACTCCCGGTGGTGTTTATATCGAGAGAGAGGCCAACCGAACTATGCACGGGAAGGCAGTTTCGCCACAGCCTAGCTTGGCTGTGTGTGAGTGACGTAACAACTGTCTTATCCGGATAGCGGAGTTAAGATCTTTGCCCTTAACGACATCCAATGGGGTTATCCTAAATGTGGCACTAGGGCGGGGTTCGCGGTGTCTTTGCTGCTGGTTTTCAGTATAGTTTGTGCGAGCTGCAATTGTGATGCAGTCGTAAGACGGCCAGGACGAATTTGGGGCGTATGGGAGTCACATGAAAGGAATGATGCAATGCTTGGCAACCAATTTCTAGCTGGGGATAACACCAGCAGAATCCGAACATGTTTTATTAAACAGTGTTGGCTCTAACTAAAATCTAAAAATATACATATATGCATGGATACCTAATGTCGAAGAATTGTTTGTTTCCGGAACACAAAAGTTCAATCGATTTTCTCAAGAATTTTATTTAAAATCCATTCAGCGGCTTTTTTTTTTTACATAAAAATATTATTTAAACATGAATTGTTTTATCACCCGCTTCTTTTTTACCTGCCGTTAGATTACAGGTACTTGACTTCAGTTTGTCGAATTACGTTACACACACACCCTTCATTCCATAACCCACGAGGTAAAAACAAACAAGAAAAAAAAACAAAAACAAGAATAACCGGTCCTCTCCTGAAACGACACATCTGTACCGAAGCAGCTGTGACCCTGGACGACACAGATCCTTCATCCGTCCGGTATTTGTAGAATGCAGCAGACCAGACTAGTATTATGTACACATGTGGCTCACTGTGGGCTTTTGTCGCCCCGCGAGACAGCGATCCTGCAGCGGGCTTTCCCCTTTCGGCGCTCCGCTTACAGTTTCACCAGCTGTGATGGAATTCTGCATAGATGTTTTTTTCATAGGACTGTTGGAATAATGAGAAAGCAACTTTCAATGTTGTTGTCTCAGACAGGTGTGTTATTATTCGTATTTCATTAATTATTTTTTTTATTTTTTGGCTCTTTTTTTAAAACCTGTAAATCCCTAAAATACGAGGTTGAATCTTACAGGAATAAACTACTGACAATACCAATAATGATTTTATTTCACCCCACCCATGAAATGGGAAACTGTGCTGTTTGCTGTTTATGTAGATATTTTTATATTTAAAATTGCACAATTCGCAACAATGGATCAATTTAACTCGCATTACCCATCGAAGTCTATGGGTAACATTGTCAAAAAACGTACTCTTTATAATGACCGCAGTAGAAGCTTTGTTTCACCATATGTACTAATGGGTGTTTAGATGGTTGATAATTAAAATAGTAACTATAGGGATGTTGGTTTTACTATTTATAGAGTCTTTGTTCTTTAATGTCACATTTACAGACATGGCCAACGAAATAATGTGATGAAATACAAGATTGAATCCACAGAGTTCATCAAGGTCACCGTATCAGACACACGCAGCCTGGCAGTAAATATGTTATTCTGTCATAGTTATTGTTGAATGTTGAACACTAATAAGGTAAAAAAAAAAAAAGAACGCAAACAGCGAAATCAACAACAACAACAAAAAGTGACAACAAAATAAAACCACGTTTCATCATGCGCTTCACCCAGCTCCTGACACATTCTGCCCTAATCCTAAACTCACTCACACACACACACACAAACTGTTCTTCATGCACGGTGCAGCGTGCACGGCTCGACGTGCACAGCCCCCATAGCAACAGCGCCAAGTAGCGAATAGAAAGCTCAAATACTGTCTCTAGGACCCGGGTTAAAGCGCTGCAGGAAGCACCGTGAACGCGTCACGACTTGAGTGGCTGTTGCTGAGTAGTTCAGCATACTTTCTCTATACACCCCCCCTCACACACACACACCTCCCCACCCTACAGCCCCCCCACCCCCCCACCCCCTCCTGCCGTCTGTTTATTTAGTCGGTCCCGTCGTCTGTGTTGTATTAATTATAAAAACACTGTTTACAGCCCCAGATCGAGTTTACCTCCTTTTTTTTCAAATTGACTGTCTTTTCAAAGGACACCCGTTGTAATTCAATCAGAAAGACGTCAAAAGTAAGGATACACTGAGTAATTGATGGAACAATTTATCGAGCCTCTATTGTGTTATTCTCTTGTGTGTAAACAGGCGCTCTGTCTGGTCACGTGAATCAGCTTTAAAATGAGGTTTTACTGAACGTTGAATTTATTTGCCTAATGTTGTTTCCGTGATGTTTACTACAGGTTAATCTCACCAAATGTCTTTTGGTCTGTCTTGTCAATATAATTGTTGTAGCAGGCGCACACACAATGCCTCATTATCAGAATGTGTTTGTAAAAAAGCAAATGTTATGTCCACATAACTTTTACGCACTGAAAAGTATCCAAATGTGTCTTTTATAAACACTAAACAACCCAAACGAACCGTAATAATTAGTGAATGAATTACATTGTTTTTTAACAAAGAAATGAATACATTTTATTAAGGGTTTCTTTGTTGTGCCGCTGATTCGGAAGAAGTGGAGTTTTGAATATAACCGAGATTCAATGATGAAACACAAAAAAGGAAGGCGGTTCTGGTGGATATTCATGTTGGGAGTTTTTAACCATTTTTTTTGTTATTTTTGTCTTTGGTTTTATAGACATAAAGAGTCTGGGGGAATTTCCAGCCGCCCCACTCCCCTCTGGTCCTTTGCCCTTGGTCAAGGCTCCACACCCAGTCCCCCCCCACTCCCCTCTCACTCCCTCACACACACACACACACACACACACGGACAGACACACACACACCAGCTGTCGGAATCCTTCCCGTCTCTGAACTGAGACCAACCGATACAGCTGTTAACACGTACAGTGATACAGTAAATCCCCCTTTTCTCTCTCTTCTGGCTCGCCGTCTCTCATTGTCTGCTTTAACTCTTTTTCTGGGACCCAGACATCCAGCAGACAAAACCTCCTCACTCCATCAGACATTCTGGCCGTTTGGTCAAATGTGGGAAAGAAGTATCAAAAGAAACTCTCTTGTTGCGTGTGTGTGTATGTGTGGAAAGAAAAGGGAAACTTGGAGGTGGCAGTGATGCCCGGTTGAGATTCTTAGGGAATATAAATGGGATATTTTGCCAACAAGTATTACTTACATTGCTCGGTCTACGATCTTTAGGTCCCCATGGTTACTACATTCATCTCTTCTGCCACTACCCATCTCCCTCCCTTGTCTTGATGATGCTCATTAATTGACTCATTTGCATTTTGATTTTCCCCAGAAGGTCCCCCATCTATCATCTCCTTCTACCGGTAAGACGTCCGACATTCACACTCCGAGTTCTCCGCTCGATCCCATCTTTGCTTGTCCAGATTAACAAACTAGACGTCACATCCACTTGTTGAGATTTCGGCGTTTGGATCTTTGGACCTTGTTAGTGCGTTAACACCCTGTTTACGTCTCACCCCTCTATGCAGTCTCTCTCTCTCTCTCTCTCTCTCTCTCCCCTCTTTTTCTCATTCGCTATGAGCCTCTCATTCTGCCCCACAACGGTATCCATCCTGTTTTTTACTGCTTACCTCCACCCGCTTCTTCTGTCTTCCTCTCTGCTCCACCGACGCCTCACCTGTTCAGGAAGATTTGACAAACTGCTGCAGACGTTCTCTTTTTTCCATAGCTTTTTTTCTTTTTTTATCTCTAATTTGATTTGATGATACAATTGTTATTAATTAATTCGGATTTCAATTTAGTTAAATATTTGCTAATATTTGACTACACGGCATTGGGATGGATTCAGTGTGATTCAGACGTGTATAAGAAATTGCTTTTATCTAAACTGTAAGCAGTGCCTGTACTTCATCGTTTCTCGGCTCCGACATGCGTGTCAAAGATGAAACATGAGAAAAAAGGCAAAGGCAAAAACCACAAGCTGAGGCAGGAGTCTGTAGGGCATCGCACTTTAAAAGGCTGTTGGAACAGGTGGGTATTCTGACAGCGAGGCTCACTCTCCAGGCATCCTGCTCTTCCTTCGCTTTTAGTTTTCCCCACACATCAGCGGCAGAAACAGATTTGTCCCTACGGCCCCGTCCGTGTGGCCATTGGACTTAAATATGTACTTTGTTCAGTGGAGGAAAGGGTGGTGTGGAACGCCCACACGCAGCTCACGACGGAGATTTGACTTTCTTTGAATCTCTGTTGGGATTTATGAAAATCTAAAGTAATTTTTTTTTTCTTCTAACCAGTTACGTGTTTCCTTTCCATCCTACTTGTGTCCTTGTTCACTTTAGGGGGCCACACTGGGAGCCCCGGTCTAAAGTGTAGTCGTAGTACTCATTGTTAACAGCATTTTTGGGGCTGACTTGGTAATGTTCAATGTGTTATCGTGCACAAATGAGACTCAACAGTTGGGGGGCCGGTCTGACCGAATCGAACACCCAAAATAGAAGGACAAATGCAGTACAACATGATATACAGTACACACTCTGTCAACGTGCTCATCAGGAGGGTGGGGGGGGGGTCTTATGCCCTTCTAAGTCGGAGTTTCGGATCTTGTTTCCTGCAAGTCACACTCAATATGTCCCGTCCAAGCAGCCCAGTGTTGAGCTCTGCTAAGAACTGAAAGCTCCTCAGCAGTTAGTGGGTTTGTGAAACATAACAGAAGATGCAATACAGCCAATGAGACGCAGCAAAGGCAGAGGTTTTTTTTTTTTTTTCTGATGAAAGCGACCTCTGGATTACATGTTCTTCATCGGCAGTAGCAAACCGGTGGCGGCTTGCAGCGACTTAACCCCCCATGAGCCGCCGCGTGAGGATGACTCATCAGAAACCAGCCGATCTTTGCCCTGGTGGATGTTACCTGTCTGTGGCTTTGTCACTAATACCGTCACCTGACATCAAGCGTTTCGTTAAGCTGCTAATGCCAAGATGGATTTGAGGTTGACCTCAAGAGGAAATCACAGAGTGATTTAATTTACTTTGTAAGTGACAAAGTGTCCGGGTAGTCCTGACACATTAAAGCCACTAATTGGATAATACCGGACGCTTCATATCAAGTCATATTTCTAAAGTGTCTCCTGCTGTGTGTCTTCATTTCATCACGAGTATGGTTGTGTTAACTAACATTTATCCCTCAGACTGTTTCTGTTTCTTAAAATTAAGTGTATGGTGTTTATGGCTTTTGTTTAATAGCTGACTAGCGTACGAGTTATTTGACATCTGGAGCTTTCAGTTTTTTTATGTAGTTTTTCCTTTGTAGACAATGTATGAACTAAAATTGACTATCAAGAACATCAAGTTCCTCCGTTTAGGGATTCCCAGAGCCAAAACAAATTGGATGTTTAGTGATTTAACATTTGAGTGTAACAGAAATTATCCTTACAAATTTGATAAAATATATAAATGTTAAATAATTTACTCTTAATTGGTAGTGTCTTTTAAAGCTGAATAACTGAACAATGTATTCAACCTTTTTTTAATAGATGCTATGCTGCCATCTAGTGTCACACACAGGAATAACATTTCCATTTAATTAATAAACCACATGTATTAGGATCTATTTTAAGACATTAAAAAAAAACAAGGATTATATGAAGGTAAATTTTCAAATGTGTCACTGAAATGTGCTTTAAATCACTAATGGCTTTATTTGGCAATACAAATTATGTCTTAACAGCAACTGGTTTTGTGCTGGAGGCTTCAGTGTCAGTACGTAACCTTGCATCATCCACTACATTCATCTGATACAGTAATCGCCTTGTATTTGCTATTTAACCAAATAAGTATGAAGTGGGCACCCATTTAACAATTAAGCGTTCATTTAAAAATAGAAAAAAAAATAATCTCATGAAATGAAATGTTTGCAAGCTTATCTCACTTTTTATTGATCCGTTTCCATGACCACAGATGTAAATACAGTTGACTCGTAGGCAAGGACAAAGAAGATTAAAAGTTTATCTGTGGTTTCTGGTCTCAGTCATAATAATATAGTTACAAGTGACTGAGCGTGAAGAAACGATAAGGTACACAGGCATATTTACAAGCTTTCCCTACGTGACTTTGCCATTACACACTCGCACAGATGTGCTCCCTCAACAACACTAGAAGACAATAGATCTTGATTTTATTGTCTTTACACAGATTACAACCTCTTTAATGTGCGCTCCATCAACCCAACATTACTGTGATCAAATTTGAATATTTAGTATAAAGGTCAAAAGGAATGGAGAAATTTCTTATCTGTTTAATACTACTAATAAGTTCAAGTTTTAGACTGGATTGTTTTTAACGGGGGACTGCAATCAGTGGCAGGTAGAGAATGAACAAATGTGTTGATGTCAATTTGATGCAGGAGAAAGGACGAGGAAAGGAGGTTTGGACCAGAACATTTAGTCTCATTTTGTTTTGTTTGTCATTCCATCTTTCTAACATTCCACTTTGTGAAAAAAGGCAGAGGCGAAGAGGAGCGCGGGAGAGAGAGAGAGAGAGAAGGATTGAGAGAGAGAGCGAGCGATGGCCAGTAAGGACAGAGTTAAAAAACCCAAATCCCTCCTCTGTTTACTCTGGTCCGCTCCCATTTGTCCATGTTCAACACTCGTCTCCCGGACCGGTCCAAAGTCTGCCACCGTTTAATTGGAGAGCTTCTTCATCCTCTGATCTAGTGCAGCAAAGTTCTCCTCTACAGCCCCCAAATTTTCCTTCATTGTCTGTTGGACCTTTGGGAGAAGACGAAGATGTCAATTCATAAATAATAAAGACATTTTTAAAATATATATATTTTACTTCACATTAGGCAATGTGCAAAACATTCACTGGTCCCAGCTTCTGAAAAGTAAATATTTGCTACCATTTAGTTTTATATCATGCCATGAATTGAATATAGTTGGTCAGGCTAACAAAAACTGAAAACGTATCCTCTGGGAATGAAAATAAATACCTACTGGTTATCTAAATATTACAGCTGGAGCAAATTGTCAAGGTGTGGATGACTTTGTTTTTATTGTTTGACAAAAGAAAGCCTTCTGGGCTCTAAAAATTGTGACATTGTAAGGACCTCTCTGATGTATGTACGATTAACCGCCTACAAGGCCAACGAGACCTCACTTCAGAACACATCATCGATCAAAAAAATAAAAGAAAAAAGAGCCCCTTCGTCCATCTAACCACTAACCTTCAGCTGTGAAAGCACAGGTTGAGTGGGGGGGGGGTCTAGACCTCATTATGGGCAGCAGCACTTTGCTAAATTCATACATTTAGCTATGAAAAGCTGCATTGATAAACACTAACGTGCTTTACAGTTTTTACCTTAAAAGGTGCAGTTTTCATTGACTACAGAAAGAGATTTGGCCGTTGAGACAAGCGCGTATTTCTAACAGCCTTCTTAAGGGCCCAATTGATTCACGTTTTCCTAACTGTTCAATGACTCGTGGACCTCATACCTGTGTTAGCAGGGTGTTATTGTCCTTCAGAGAGTTGTTGATCATCTGCTGAGTGGTGTCCAGGTGGGTCAATAGCTGGCCAAATTGCATCGCTGCGAGACGCCAGTGAGGTTGCAGCGAGTGTAATTTGGACAATGAGGAAAAATAAAGCGTGAGAAAGAACCAGTTAGACAAAAAAAAAAAAAAAAGTTGTTCCCTGATTTACAAAAGTATAGTTAAAAAAACCCTGCAATGTCGTCTTTGCCCTCTGCACGAGTGAAGGTGAGTGAAGATAAAATGTAATCAGAGACTAATCTTTTCAAGTGAGTCTGTCATTCATAAACAGTATTGTCTCTTACTTGTCTGCCTTCGTTGGTAATGAACGATCCGGAGAGAAAAATAACATCAGTGCGGCTAAATCCCATCGAGCTAAGAACCCTCGCTGCAGACTGTGACCGATCGCTACAGAGTGGTTCTGGATGATAAACGACCTCTTTCAGTGCCCAGAAATGAATTATCAATATAATCTATTTATGCCAACGTTCTGCTTTCATGTGCTAAATAATAAAAAGATGATAATGTGATATATAATATCATGCATCTCTTCCCCCCTGAGGGGGTGTTTAACAGTATTGCTAGATTAGGCTAATTCTATTACCATTTTGAGACTCCCTCCCAGTGATTTCTTTTGCCCTTTGTTATAATAGAATGCCATGGTTTAGGCTAATTCCATTATCCGTCTGAATCCCATTTTCGCTTAGTTTTCTCCTTTTGTTTCACATTCCCATTGCAAATGCAAATCATTCAGGCCTCACTTCACGGCATGGAGGCTGCATCGGAACGTGATCCGGGTTCACACCCTGCATATTTTACACCCTCCCACTGACCTACATACATCCTCTGCTTGAACTCCAACAGGTGTCACAAGGCGAGGTTGTTTTGCCCTCACATAACAAAGCAGACAATACATTTAAAAGGGGATTTAAACCAGTCTCTGTTCCCGTGGGTTACCTTGCTCATGCAACTCCTTTACAGCGACGAGCCTCTGCACCACCTGAGGCACAGAAGTGGACATGGAATCCCACTTCTGCACCACGTCATAGAGCTGCGACACCTGACAGGTGAAAACATGCAAGCACATTTAATACCAAGATAAACCCCAGCAGCTACCATTACGTTAATATTCACCCAATGTCACCAATTTTTGAACTGTAAATGACCCCTACATTCATCTGATAAGCAGAATTACCTTCATTAAAAGTTTACTTATGGCTGAAGACATGTTTGTGGTTGTCCAATGAGATTATCAGATAGAATTTCCCATGAAGCTTTTATAGTTTCATTTATTTCGTTATGGTAATAGTGACGATATCATAATTACAGCCTCAGATACATACATAACAAAAAGATAGAACCTCTTTGCATGATTTTGTCATTTAACATGTAATAAACATGCACTGCCCTCTACTGGCCGTTTAGACGTCGCGCAACTTTTTATCTAATGCGAAGTTAAACGTTCATAAAAAAAACTGATCATCTCTGGTTTGGCTGTGCCAGAAAGCACGTTTTCCAAATAAATATAATTTCCTCTGACTAGCAAGAAAAAAAAAATTTACTTTTTGACTTCCCGATAAAAAGCTCAACTCTTCTGATTGGAGGAATGTTGCTGCAGTTTTTCCATCTCAAAGTGCTTCGTAACTTTGTGCGAGAGCGTCTGAGATAATTACTGCACTGAAACTAAACTGTGCAGGAATTACAAACCTTGTTTTGTGTCTCGGCGTCCTCGATCGCTGCCTTGTGTTTAGCAATCTCATTCATCTTCCCGAGGACACTCTAAATTGGAAAGAAGCAAATTGGATTTTGTGTATCGTTTTCGAGGCAAACAGATACAAAAAAAAAAGACATCGATTGGATTCATGTCAATACGCGCAACGCAACATATTTCAAAAGTTACAAATGCAGCAATACAATTATTGTACTATTCTTATCAGTATTTAAAGCCCTGCTCACTCTCTGTCGTGGAGTACATGGAGCTGATAAAATGCTGAAAAACAATTGCATGATGTCACAGCTGAAGTCTAAATAGAATGGAAAAATACTTTACAATTAACTCAAAACGTGCATGCTGCAGTATATATCAATACATGCAGGAGTCAGAGGAAAGTCTGATCTATACTTTATTTTATATTTAAAAATGTGCTAGATACACAGCACACAATGTGTATATACTTTTTAATAAGCTTCGGGTTTGCCGGGTTAGTTGTTGAACCATCTCCTCCGTGCTGAACACAAATATCTGAAACACCAAGCGTGTTATAAAACTGTCTGCGTTAAGACAGCAAAACAACATCTTTCTTTTAAAACACAAAGTTCCTCTGGGAAACATGATATATAACACAGAATGCAGTAAAACGGAAACTGATGTTTATGTTAAAACCATTAGCCCGTGCTGTGTGCTGATTGGTTACCTGCAGCCTGGCCTCCACCTGATCCAGAGTAGCTGAGTCTAGTGCGCTGACCCTCGCCTGCAGGAGCTCTATGGTGGCCTGTTTCAAGCACACACACACACACACACACACACACACACACACACACACACACACACACACACACACACACACACACACACACACACACACACACACACACACACACACACACACACACACACACACACAGTAAATACAAGCATTGGTAAGACAACCCCAGTGTTCCTGCTTTTGCTACTGGCAACAACAAAAAACAAACTGATGTCAATCATCTTTGAAGTATGACCCAGTTCTCTGGCTGCACATCAGAAACACGGATGTACTCCACCTGGTGCATTGCCAAAAAAAAAAGTAGTTGACTTCTTACCATCAAACTGGCTCCTTGTACGCCAGCACTCAAAGGTCCCTGCAACATAAACACGAAGAGGGAAAATTAATTATAAGAAGCAATGAAGCCGTAATTTACATAATCGAGTGAAAGACTAATCCAGAATCAGTAAATTGATGGTTACACAGCAGCGGGAGCATGAAAATTCTACTGCTGTGAGTGAAAGAGAGACCGAGATAAACAAAAATGAATGTGAATGACAACAGCACGGGGGAGGAATATATGGGTGTGTGCGTGTCGGCGTGTACCTGCTTGTCTGATCCGGAGCCAACAGCCATCTCCAGCTCAGCTAGACGCTTCTCCAGTTCCGCCATCTACAGGGAAACGACAAGGCAACACGCGGCTGGCAGTGACAACAGCGTCCCAGAGAAGACGCGCACAAACACCCAAACACAGGCGGGAAGCCTTTCGTCCCGTTCATTTAACATTCTGACATCCCTCTCGCGAGAAAAACAAAAAAACAGATGAGCATTTTCTCCCTTGACGAGTACATCCATCACCGACACTCTGCTCCCCTCCACCGCTCCTCCACACTTCACCTTGGCAGATTCATTGAATTTCTCCTGCTCTGGTCGGCTGTGTAGCTCGTAGAGCACCACTCCATCGGGGCCCTTAGCGGAGGCCGGCGGCTTGCTGTCCCCGGTGGCGCTGCCGCGGCCGCCCTTGGCACACTCCAGCTGGGTGAGCAGACGCCTGGGGGAAGGGGAAGGAGACACAAAAGGATTAAACGGTCAATATTATTATCAGCTCCATGTGTTGCTGCACCATCGTGCCTGAAATGTGGCAACTGTATGTTTCAGCTCAGGGGCGTTTACATGTGGCCGACTGATCCCTGCTGTCACCCACTTATAGGCAGTACATGCGTATAACTGGGTGACAGGATGCTCATTGGAATCAATCATCCTGCTCTTCTCCCCCTCACCATCTACGGTTGCCTCCCTCTACATCTTCAAGCAACCATTTATTTCTTATCCCTCCCTGCATCCACTGCCTGCCTACTTCCTTGCCAGGTTTCAGATTCCAGACATTTGTCCTCGTGCCTCCTGGTCTTGTCACCCGGCTCACCTGGCCAGCGCTCCGTCTGGGTCCGACAGATTGATGTGTGCGTGTGGCCCCAGCAGCGAGTCCAGATGGGCCGAAACCAGCTGCTGTTTGAGCTGCGCTGCGTGCTGGGCGAGGACCACCGGGGTCAGGCGCTCCTCTGCGTTGGTTTCCTTTGTGGCAGACTGGAAGCAAAGGAAGACCGGAAGTTCAACACAGCGGTGACGGAGTTGTTGAAACCACACAAACTGACAATGGGTGCAAATGGGTGGGTATCCAAGTTAATGACACCAAAGGTTTAATTTGTTTTGGGGTTGAGGGAGTCTTTGGAAGTGTTTTAATCAATGCATTCTGTTACATTAAGGCTTCAGTGAACACTGCGTACAAAGTTTAGAGCTCTAGTGCAACAGTGGACATAAATTTTCCACCTGTGAAAGCTCCCATGATGATGTGACCAAGGAGCCGACCGGACGAGAGTCCCTTTGTGGACAGCTAGATAAAGGCCGAGTAACCAGGTGAGAAGGGAGACGTGTGCTCGAGGCCCATGGGTGTGTCTCGCTGTGCGCTCACCTGGATGGCATCCACCTCCTGGGTGAGTTCCTGGATCTCGTTCACCAAGCGCTGGTACTTCTGCTGCGGCGTCTCCTTCACTCCACAGCCCTCTCCAAGCTGAGGCAAGATATGAGAGCATCGTGAACGTTAAGGGCAGCAAACAAAGTCTCACACAGAGAGAACGGACTTATAGAGACTAATAGTCCTTACGCCGTCGTTTCCCTAAAGTGGAACGTGTTTAAAGAAAAGAAAAAAATGAAAAGCGAAGTCATGCATTGCCGCTGATTAGAAGGTACTCACGATTTCAAATTCTCCCGACTCATAGCCCACTCTTCGGCTTCTGCTGATTGTGTCTGAGAAGTCTGTGAAAAGACAAATGGGTCTTTGGCTGGTTGTATGAAGCACATACATGGTAACTTTGTTTTGTATACTTAGTATTTATCCTCATTACTGGTCACAAAATTTGACTGAGGACACCAGACACAATATCAGAAAGCAAGCTGATGAAAAAAGGTGACCATTCTTTTGATTTTCAAAAAAATTGATATTGTTGATTAAAATGTAGGGCCATTTTGGAGAATGCATATTGTTTTGTTAATGAACTCAATAGTTTTCTACAGAAAGCAGTTTTCTACTACATTGTTCACCTTATTAATACCAATGGGAAAGGCTAATTAACAGAAACACCCTTGTATGAATCAATGTAGTTACTGACCAGTTAAATGATATATATATATATATATTCTGAAGTTCATGTTATCTTTGTTTCACCATTAAAAAGGTACTTAAATGAATAGAAGAGGGATTTATAATCCCCTGTGAACTGACCAAGCCCCTTGGTGTTGACATGCTTGTCTTTGAACTTGTCAAAGGCGGCGTTGGGGTTGACCACAATCCTCTCCACGCTGTCGCTGCAGAGCTCCTCCTGTCATTGAAATACCAGAAAATAAGGTAGTCAGGTGGACATTAACGGAATCTTTAAAATGGCAGGCTAGACAAAAAAAAAAGAGCCGTTGCTCAGTGAGCCAAGAGCATCGAAGCCCAAGGTAGACTTCAAATATGTGATGTTTGATTTTTGCCCCTAAATATGATTTAAAGATGATTGATGTGCTTAAGTCAACGACCGTACAATGATCTACAAAAAGTTACACACACAGAGAAAATAAAAGCCATTGTAGAAATGAATCATGACAATCTGCAATAGCTTCACAGCCATAAATTTGGGCGGCCCAGAGTCAGATTATTACAAATAAATGTAGAGTACCAGCAGGCGAGAGATGAATGTGCAACATTATATGCATGACAGCTACAGGAGATTCTTAAATTCAATATAGGTTTGATATAGGTTCATTTAGTAGAAGTCTACCATGGTAAAATCATTGTTACGTGAATGTTAAGTTGGACAACATGAACACTTTCTTTTCTAAATTACAGTTTGATTAGTGATTCTGGGGAGGACAAAACATGCATCCTTTGATCAGAACGTCCTCGTGATCAGTTATGATGAGCAAGAGGCTGAGGTAGGATTAAAACACCACGGACACGTACAGCAAGATGACACGAGTCCGGGCCACACTTACAGATTTGGGAAGAAAACCCCCCAAAACGAACACAGACAAGACAGTTAAGCAGATGAAGGGGTGAGGAAGAACGGGGAGGTTGGGGAGGAGAGTTAAGTCAAGGCTCTTACCAGCTCCTTGGGTTTTCCAAAGAGAGTTAGAGAGAGTAACCGGAACAGCAGAGGGAGAGAAAAAAAGTTGAGGGGGGTGGGGGGGTGGGTGGGGACAGAGAGAGAGAGACAACACAGATTAATGTGGTTATCACATGCATGCACACAACGGGAACAGTTGGTCGGGGAAAGATAAGAAAGAAAGCAGTGTTCGGAGAGCTGCTGCTGCTGCTAAAACCCCCAAAGACACGCGCTTTGGACTGCTTACGGAGGTCTGCAGCTCTTTCTTTCTTCCCCGATTCAGGGTAAGCTGGTCCTCAAACTTGAGAATGCAATGCAACCGTGTGCGCTCACGAAGAGCACTGCGGGTCTCAGGATATTATGCTGTGAATGCAGCGGGTTGGTGTTTTAAAAACAATCCATGAGGCGGAATGAGAGGTGGTTTAAGGTGGAATAAGAATCAAAAAGTCAAGAAAACCCTCCCACCCATATTGGACTTTGGAATCTATAATAACTCATCAGGGTGGGTTATTATCCTGCTGTTCATCTTAAATTCATTGACGAGGCTGAACATATGATGCTAATGAAGTATTTACAAGTTAAGGCCTCTATACACAGAGAAACTTTGGTCTATCGCAGACAAATGCAATTATCTTTGGCCATCAGGACGGAGGTAGACATCAAGAGAAACATCCAGATTTAGGACATTGGTCACCAACGAAGTCTGCGTCAAAGGTTGAACAGGATCAGGAATCAGGGCCCAAATTTGTGAAGTTTGTAAGGTCAATGGATATCAATGCATCCCTAATTGTAATGATATAGAATAGACAGGTCAAAATAACTTTTAATAAAGTAATAGGCATACACCCAAAATAATACTAAAACCTTTGAAAACTTAACAGTAATGTATAGCCATTTTTACCTAAACCTGACCTTCAAGTGGTTATTGCGGCCTGTAAGGGCCTTTAGAACATCCAGTTAGTCAAAATAGTGTGCTTAGTCAGAGCATAAGGACAAAAGGAAATATCTCAAACACTTTTCTTATTTAAGGGTTGCAGTGCTGAAGACCATTTGAAATAGTTCTACTTTAGCAAAACAAGTGGGAGGAAAAGAAGATATTCCTTGCCATTCAAAACAATCATAAATCAAGAAATTTATGATTTACAGGGAATAAAAAACGTCACTCAAACGATCCATTTCTAAATTCACCACAATCAGAGGTAGAAAAAAGTGGACATGAGATTAGAAACCCATGCATTAAAAGCATAACGTTAAGCTCACTGAGGGTCAAATGGAGCCAGTCTTACTTGTACAAACTAGGGTCCCAGGAGGGGGGGGGGGTCAAAACAAGGGCAAGGGATTGAGGAGAGCGAATGTGGAAACAACAGAAGAGGTCTTTACTTTAGCATCAACACCCGGAACTCTGGTTAATGTTAAAGTTGACAGGGAGGACAGACGTTTCAAAGAATCAAAAGACACTTTCATGTTGATCAGTATACATTTCAAAAGATGACGATGCTTTGGGGCTTTTAAAATCTACTCTAAATGAACTTCCCTTACTTACTTCTCTTTATGTAAAAAGCACTGCTCATAGTATACAGCACACATGCAGGGACACCGTTTCAAGCTGAGGTACAATCAGTGCTTTCCCGTGAAGGTGGCGGTGATCGTTAAGTCATTTCTTGTTGTTGCGCACGTATCGCAAAGAGTAAATGCGTCCTCCGTTATTACAAGTATTAACCCTTGTTTGCTAACGTTAGTTATATTAAGTTAATGTGAAGCTAAACGAACAGTCCGTATATGGAAAAACAAATCCAGCCGGCTCAAAAACGTCCCAACTTACCGACTCAAACTGAGCCTGGTCATCTTCTGGAAGGTCACCGGTCTCGTAAACATCCGGCTCATTGAAGGCCTAATAAAACAATCAAGTAAGGAGTGTGTCAAACTATCAGACGTCCCGTTTATTGTCCTTAGTCTGGCCAACGCCCCGGCCCGTTCAACAACACATATTAGCTAGCCGTCGCTACATGTTGGCTTATATCACAAGAAGACGAACTGAACATTTTGCTATTGAGAATCTACAATTTCTAACGGTATTTGTTTAGCAGTTGCGAACAATAAGGCGTGGGACGTTAGCTAGCTTAGCTGTCACATCTTGCTGCTACCATCGGCTAGTAGCATTGTAGCTAGGCTGTCTGCTAACATTAGCCACTTACAATTCCTGGCAAGTTGGCGTATTTGGGATCAGCCATTTTCAGCGAGGGGCAAAGATCTAATTAACCACGACTATAATATCAGTTCTTAAAACGTGAAAATAATCGATTAAACCAAACGAAATTGTAACATAGGCTAACGGTAGACGATCCAGCAGTCTCTCTCAGCCGGCTGATGTGTTGGCTTTTCCAGCTTGATTTGACAGCGTGTACGCTGGGTTTCATGAACGAGCAGGCGAACGGGCGGTGAGGTGTTTGCTACGCCAAGGGGGAACGGCCCAACGGCATATCGAGACCAACAAATCAAGCACTCCCAAAGAGTTGAACGTCTTTACGCATGCGCCAAGTTTGACCAATTTTACCTTTTCCTTTCCCTTGTGTTTAACATCGTTTTTTTCATTTTGCTAATTTCCTATTTACGGTCACATTCATACATTCTTTACGTCTCAAAAATATGTTGTCTTTTTTTTAAATGTCTTTTGTTAAATTGCAAGTCGTCGCGTGGTGGCGCTGAATGTACGACCAGAAAACTCAATCAAAGGGCCAAAGACAGTCGAAAAAGACGATGATTCACTCTGTTGGAAAAAAATGGGTTATTCCAGATACTGCAGTAAAAGACAATATTAGTGTATCCTAAACTGTATGTTACGTGTTTAAACTAACTACTAATGTATTCTACAACGTTTCTTTTTCATTTTTATTTGTACCATTGCACACATTTTTGGTTTTAAAAACTATTTTTAAACCTAATCCTGAAAATACTGTCAAATATTTAAAAAATGCCACTAAGCTTATTTTACAAACAAAGTATGATACTTTCTGCCTGCGAAAGTGTCGCATCATGTTATATGTGGCCCCAGAATATTTACTTTGCAGGGAAGGTACAATGAAAATTGAGTTGTCATTTGGGAAATGTGGCAGGCATATCCGGAGTTTTTGTTGCATAATCTCTAGGGACAAGAAGACTATTTTAACTGCATCAACATTCTCTCTTTTAATCAATCCCTCGTAATCCCTGTTTAATAGCCATTGTCAACATAAACGTATCACGTCAGAAGTGAATTTTTCCCGCGTGTAATGATGTTTGATGGCAGCGATGGCATCGGGAATAGGAAGCGGAGTTGGGGGTCCTCTCTCAGCTCCTCGGTCCTCAGTGGTCCTGATGAGGGAGGATTTTGAGTCGCTCCTCGCCCCGCCCCCAGTGAGAGTCACCGGGATGACGTTGATGCGAGCCATGCCTGTGAGCAGCCCACTGCCGACCGGACCAGCTTGGAATACACTCACCGTTTACAACTCTCCATCTGTTTCCCTGCCGCTCAACTGGACCCGAGCTGGTTTGAGGATTTTTTTTAAAACGAAAACTCTCTCAAACGGCTTCTTTCTTTACGTTTTTCTTTAATTAATTCGGCTGAAGTCTGCCCCACCAAAACTCGTAGTTCATTCTTCCAAATGTTGTCAGTCTCGCTTCGCGTGTGGGTATAAGCCGGTTGGTTCCCGACTGCGTCCGGGTGGTCTACGCGGAAAAGGTTGCACCGGGAATATTTTGTCTTCAGTTAAAATTCCTGGTTACCTTTTGGAAGCGCGTCTACTATTTCCCCTACAATGGCAGATGCTAACACAGAATGCAATATCAAGGTGTTGTGTCGATTTCGTCCCCTGAACAAGTCGGAAATTATCCGCAGAGATAAGTTCATCCCAATATTTCAAGGAGAAGATACCGTCGTCCTCGGGGTAAGTTATCCTATTGCGATCTTCTTCGTCACCTCGTGCAGTCTGCGCGCGCTAACGCCAGGGGTTACACTTCTCATCTCACACCTCGGATATCGACCAGACAACGCTGGTGGACTTAAAGGGTTTCTGACAGGAATCGAACTAAGTATAACCCCTATTAGTATTCCGATCGGCACAATGCATCGTTCAGTCACGTGATGCTGCCATTGAAGAGCAACAAGGTGGACTGAGCCTCGCAGTGGAAATTCGGTTGGATCAAATTGATTAATGAACAGCCTGGACACGTGATCAGCCCAAACCATCCCATTAAGCTCTACCAGCGTTGTGAGGATCTTAAAAACTCATTATTTTCAACAAAAAAAATGTATCTGGGCCCCACCTCTGTGATCTCACACCGTCTCATTATCACTCCTTCCCTGGTATTGATCTGCTGGATTTTTGTGTGTTCCATGTGTAGGCATTGCTGTGTACCTTTCAGTGGAGCTTTGACCATGCCGATGCTGCAAATGTAATGGGAGTCTTAATTAGGTTCTGGGAAGGGGGAGGGAGGGGTGTTCCTGTCCATCCAGTAGACTTGAAATGCTGCTGACGATTACTCTCACTGATCTGGAGCAGAGCAGCACTTGAAAATGAACCAAGCTGTAAAACATCTGACAATCTGATGGATCTATGAGGTTAACAGCAGGGGATCAAGAGTGCTCTAAATGCAAATGTTCTCAGTGTTTAGATGTAAAGCACATCCAGGACAACGCTAAAACAAACACACACGCACACACTTGCAGATACACATGCCTCCATACATGTCTCCACAACACAGATGTGCACATACACACATGTGGCCTGAGAGTCTAGTTCAGAAAATTTCTATCATCTTTCAAATTGTCACACACGCGCACACACACACACACACACACACACACACACACACACACACACACACACACACACACACACACACAGCATTTTGGTTGTATGTGATGGAAGCAGCGGCATATCTTCCTCATGCAGATTGAATGACCCGATTGCTCATAACCGCATTATTTTTATTCCGTCTGGGAGTGGCGGGTTGTCAACGGCTTGAAATCAGTCACGCCTGCCTCCGTCGCGGGAACTGCATTTAAATGCATTCTATCTCTTATAGCATCTCAAATCATTGTCTTTGCACGATGTGTTTGACGTCAATGCGTCTGTTCCTTTTGGCCCGCAGTGTTTTAGTGTGTTCCTCACAACAGTCTGCAGAGGGTGACAGCTGAGAACAGTGTGCAGGAACTGTAATTATATTACCCAATTAAGGGAGCTGTGATCTGTTGTAATGCCAAGAAAAAACACACACTGCACGGCTGTTGTTGCCCACCAAGACTTCAGCGTGCCAGCAGGAGCCTTCAAATATGACAACGTCTGGGAACGGAAGCGTGCAGTTGTCTTCTCATTTTTCAAGTAACTTCATAAACAAACTGTCCATCCATCTCCTTCTGCTCAAATGATCACATATGCTGGCGTACGCAGTTCTCATCTTCTCATCATGTAATTGCTTGGGCGGTATAAAGCAAAGGTTTTTTAGTTGTGTAACTGCTATCAGAGTGTGCGCTTTCCTTAGCGTCTCTCTCGCAGCTCGGGAACACTCTCCGAGGAAGTTGTAAAAAAAATATGTCTCCCGAGAGTGGAAATGCTACGGCCGTCAGGTTGGATGAGGATTTAGAGTATCCGTCTGGCAGACACGCAGACAGGCTGCAGGGATCCTGTAGCGATAACTAAGCGCCCGCATTCTGACGGTTGATAAAGAACAATCGGCATCTGGACCGCCCTGATGGCTCCACATTTGTCTGCGCCAGGAAGCCTCCTTTCAGAACTTGGCAACTGACACAGACCATGATTTCAGTCCCTGAGTGATGGTTCCGGTGGCACCTGGGTGGCAGGCAGGAGGAGACTTGAAAGATTAGAGATCTGGGAAGACGGCGTGCTGGTGTGCTCTGTATTGATGGAACGCGTCTCTCGTGTGGCTTCAAAAACATTTGCGTCGGTTGAAGTCTGGCTGATAAGAAGAGTCAAACACCAAAGACTACTGAAACTGCTTGGATGGGAATTCAGACAACTTGAACTGAGATTTGCACTTGAACTCGACACATCAACTTCGACATTAGCTTTGCATCCTCCACTCCAACAGGGATTACTTCAAGCATGATAACATAACTGTAGTATTGGCGCACTTGATAGTTTATTTCTGACAGGTTCAACTATAACAATCGCACAAGTAGAGCAGTAGTAAAAATAGCAAATAAATATTACACACACAGCAATATCTATCTTTAGTTATCTGACATAAGCCTCCATAAGCTGTTCATAGCAGGTAAAGTGGGCGTGCAGCAGCAAGTGTATAAAAATGGGTGAAGGAAAGATTTTTATAACTATGATCAACCCCTGTCATGCTATACAGTCAACGTATCCAAGGCTAATGTAGACATTTGATCCGTTTAGCAGCATCTCAGTTAGCCTGGACTCCACTCAGATCTCCCCTCAGTGACGTATACTCGCATTTCAACACCGATTGCTCCAGACTTGATGTTGGGACATCACCAACATCGTGAGAGTTGTACTATTCTGCCTTCGCTCGGCAGGAATCAGCGTTGTTCTCTCACGAGGTGTGGAGCGAGACAAAGCTAAATCACTCGTTCAGTCATTGACCAGTAATCTAGAGAATGTCGGGTCTCTAAAGAAACACATCACACGTACGGAAGACGTGAGAAAAAGTTAGACATTCAAGCACTTTCAGACATTGCAACATCCCTTTTCCCCCGATGGTCAGCTAATGACTAGCAACATGCCACACACAACAATATCTAACTGTTTATTAGTATGGTTCTATTTACGTCTCACGTGCCACCTGTGGAGCCCTGTGGCTCTCACTGGCTGTGGGACAGTAATGACCATACTCAGCTGTATTGCTCCACAGTGGAGTGACACAGCTGTCTGTGCTATTTCACTGTCTGTAACAATGCACCATCACGGGGGCAAATTTGTCTTACGGCAGGCGAAAACGTCAACTCCCATGAATCACGCTTTGGATTCAATTCTATGAATAATAAATAATCACGGTTGCCTTCGAGGTAGCAAGATATGCAATTTTTTCTCCGAGGCAGTGACATATATATATATATATGTAAATATGTAATGCTGTAGCCATATGAGCTGTGTTCATGCTTGGCTTATTAAATATGCATTGCATGCATATACGCATCATACCATTGGCAGCATGTAATGATAATATATGAGTTAGGAGTAATAACTGTCATTTCTGACCTGCGCCATTTCCTACGGGATTATTTGTTGTCATATCTCATTAAGCTGTGAGGGTTTATGGAGTCTTGCTAGTCCTGAAGAGGCGAAAGAGCCTAATTTCCATTCCTTTTGTCCAAAATGATTTGATTTCATGGTTATTTGGCTGCTATTGTGAAACTTTATGAATATTCTTAGCTGCATGCAGTTTAGCTTAAGGGTGTAGTATGACATAACACATAAACACAGATTATTAGATCCCTCTCCATGTCCAACTATTTTAAACCAGTAAAAGGAAATCTTTAACAGTGGATTTTACACTGCACTGCCTCCTCTACTGCAGGGCATTTGGTCTCTGAAATTAGGAGTCCCTTTAATCTTATATCATTACTCTCCAGTATTAGAGGAACATATTTAATGGTCCTGCATATTGGAGCAGGACCAGACTATTTACAATCTGCACCAAAATACAAAAGCAGACTCAACATTGGGGTGAGAGCACGTGCCTCAGCATGTGAGTTATACAATATGCATAAATGATTAATATGCAATCATTTAAAGCACTCATTAATTCCATGATCTCTAGACTGACCTCGCTGGCATTGTCTCAGGGAGCCGTTGGATCTTTTCTTTTCATTGTCCATGATAGATATCTAGATGGGTGATATTTCTGTTGAAATGAGTTTCTCCGTGTGATAAGTCCAATTCAAATGCACTCATTAAATAACTATTGATTCTCTTTTTTCTGCAGACCATTTACAATTCTATGAAACTCTCCCGGGTAGCTGTTCCCTTGCTTGCTTACAAGTCTACCATATGAACTCGAGGGTGGTTAAGGCTGCTGGATTAACTGATGCATAAAACATCTGGCTTACATTATTAGGGGAGAATAGAGGATTAAAAAAATCTTGTCCAAAGGATCACCTGAGGTGGAGTTTATTCTGTTCTGAAGCTCATCATCCTTTATCCAGGCTGTGCTACTTCCTCACAAGAAAGCACTTTTTCCCCCCGAAAGTTTCTTTGAGATTAGTGACAATGAATGAGGATCATTTGTGGTACTGTTGCAGAAAATCGGGATGTCATATTTTTGGAAAGTGACCGATTGTTCATGAGCACCAATTTAGGACGGCCTGAATTCTGATGGAGTGGCGGCTCTTTCCCCGTTGTGCTCGGCACAGAGCGGATTCTCTTTTGTTCTCCTTCTCCGTTCCTTGATTAGGCACCGAGAGGAGAAAACGGCTGCTGTCGAAACAAACTGTTGACAGTGCATGTCGGCGTACTCTACCTGCCTCGTACCTTTTGTTATTCATTTAGCCACTCGAGGTCTTCTCTGCTCATGGATATTTCTTTGCAATTGAATGTCTGCAGAGCAAACCGCCACAAATGGAGGTCCACAGGGCTCTCCCCGTAGCCACCCCGCACACTTTAGTGCACACATCCTATCCAATTAGGCCGTGTAATGGGATTGTTGTGTAGGGTCAAGATCTGCACTCATCTCTCCCCTTCAATGCCGTCATCACAACATAGCAATTGGAATCAAACCTCCCTCTTTCTCTCTCGCCCGCTCGTCCTAAATACCCTCTTCGCTGCATTTCTCTCTGTATTTCTAGCTGTGTTTGACGTGGTGGTGATTCTGCGGCTCACTTTCGCATTGAGTCAGCGGCGGTTTTTGGAAAGATGTAAGAGCAGAAGCTCAGCATCGCCTGTCATCTCATTGAGTTAGCAGC